TGAGTTTCATATCACGGTTTACATAACTTTAAATTCGTTTAACAATTAATTTTTCAAGAAAATATAGGTTCAGAAGCCGGAATGGATTAAACTGTATTTAACGAATCCTATATCGAACTTTACGGCGTCCTATATCACCCGTTTTCTTCCCATTTCTTAAAGGGTCTTTTAATCAAGACACGGTTACGTGGCATTTGACTACTCGCAGTAATGCTGTCAACACTCTATTCGACAATAACAGCAACAATATATCAGGTTACCGTAACCCTTCTAGTATCAAAGGCGTTCAAGTACCATAACGTCATGGCCTATTTGAACGGCTCCCTAAAGCAATGAAGCGCAAGCGACAGTGCTACTATATATAGTGAAATTCAGTACCCGAACTTCGAGTAAAAAAACTGCAATCGATTCTGCCTGTCAGTGCAGATCTGTTGATAATGAATCGGGCTTCGCTGGTTTGACAGGCTACGCTGTCACTTTTGCTTAGTTTGAGCATAAGAAAAGAAAGAGCTGGTGATCGCGGCAGAGAAAACCGCTAAACGATGTGTTTACTGCGTCCTGTCAAAGCCGATATGAAATACACGTCACTTCTCGCGTAACCATACAGCAATTATACGTCTGAGTCGAAATTCGAGAGCGAGACATCTGCAGCACTCTGACTAGGTATCAGGCATGCATGCCTTTTACTGACTAACAATAACTAGTTATGTGGTCACTATGTACGTAGTTTCACTCATGACCATATCTGCACCGTCAACTGAACAGCTGTCTAGTCCTGATGACACAAATTCGGTTCCGCGAAATCCACTGTTTCTCGATTCCTATACTGCAGCTTTGTGGCTTTCAGATCAGGCAGAGAATCAGGGAATGACCCAATTCTGTCAAGTTAAATTTATCCACTCCTGAAGAATGTAAAAGGATTAGGTCAGTGTATGTCGGATTAACCAACAGATAGAATGGTTTGCACGACTTGATTAGGAGCGAGGGAAGCAGTCACAAGTTGTATTTCGTTACATCTTGCGGTACTCCAAAAAGTAACTTTAACGTCTTGAGAAAAAACGGACAACCAGGGCAGATAAGTTCTGGGAAGTGTTTCTGTTATGGCTCTCATCGTGTTGTTGAAAGGGTGTCGAAACATGAAATGTATCTACTCTGAAATCTAACGGTCAATAATGTAGTAAACAATAATCAACGCTGATGTTTGAAGAGCATTAGCACTGGCTCCACAATTCATTCGGGAGTTTTTGTGCACTCGACATTGTTGCTGGTCATGATCTTCGCGGAGGTTTCTCGCGGGCTGTTCCGCAACGCAAAACTAGTGAATCGTAATAGGCAACTACCACTACAAAGAAATTAGCAGAAGTACATGAGTACTGAACCAGTACTGCAGAACGAATGCTGGGCGGGAAAACGTTCTTAGCACTGCATGGTGCCATGGCGAATCATTCGGCGTTCATGTGCTTCTGAAAAGAAGCTTCATATATCGAAAAGAGGAAAGAAAAAATCGAAATAAACTGTCATGAGTGGCAATCAATAAAACCATATCAGTTTATAACTTTCTTTTAACAACGTCAAAAAAGAGTAGAAACCAATTAGAGGTGTTAAATAACGAAAAATTCCAATTTTGTAAATGAGGAAAAGAAACTGCAAGCCACGACTGATTAGAACATCTACACTCACTGCTCGCCAATAAGTACATGAAAAATGCCCAAAGTTGCAACAAGTACCAGTAGTGGTCGCGAAATACTGCTTCAAACAATGATGACTAAGTAAGTTAAGACATAAAACGGCGAAGCCTGGAACGCTCGAAATCAAACGTTAATTGATACGGCACAGCAAGTCTAACGCCGCAACACATGATGCTTAAACACACCATAGCCAGTAAACAGACGATA